ACAAATAAAGGTAAAGGTACCCCTGCCCTTTCGGGCCAGTCTTGTCAGACTCTAGGGTTGTGCGCCCATCACACTCAAGAGGCCGGGGGCCAGCGCTGTCCGGAGACACTTCCGGGTCACGTGGCCAGTGTGACATCGCTGCTCTGGCGAGCCAGCGCAGCACACGGAACGCCATTTACCTTCCCGCTAGTAAGAGGTCCCTATTTATCTACTTGCACCCGGGGGTGCTTTCGAACTGCTAGGTTGGCAGGCGCTGGGACCGAACGACGGGAGCGCACCCCGCCGCGGGGATTCGAACCGCCGACCTTTCGATCGGCAAGCCCTAGGCGCTGAGGCTTTTACCCACAGCGCCACCCGCGTCCCACGAAAGACAAATACCTGTATACCTGTATACAAATTCACGGAGGACAAGGCTACTCGTCTTGGTGGCTAATCTTTGCCTCCACAGTTGGAGGCAGCAATGCTTCTGAATATCCGTTGCTGGAAAATGCTCTTGTCCTCAGGTCCTGCGTGTTGGTTTCCCCGCAGGCAAATGTTCATTGACTGTGAAAGTAAGATGCCGGGCGAGATGGGCCACTGGCCTGATCCACAAGGGCTCTTCTCATCTTCTTAGGCTCACTAGTTGTCCACGAGTTCCAGCGCTAACCATCCCTAAACCTCTTCCCCCACCGCCTTTACAACATGCGTCGGATCTGTACCCCCCCAAAAAAAAATCCCTTGCACGAGGCAAACGTTAAATTCTAAAACGCCCCGCGGGGGACACGCGAAAAGGGGGAGCCGCGCCCGTTTCCCTCCCCAGAAGGCAGCCAGGGGGCTTCTTTCCCCGACACCCACCACCACCCAGGGGCGGGATTCGAACCCACGTCCCCCTCCACGGCCACCGCCGCCTCCACCTCCCACCAGGCCGCTTTCGCTTTGGCCGTTCACGTGCGGGGCTGGGGGCCGAGGAGAGCCGGAGCCGCCCGGCGGCTCCCCGCGCTTGACACCCCGCCAGCCACCCGGCCTCGCCCCCTCAGCCCGGGTCCCCGGCGGTCACCTTGGGCCGAGAGCTGCCGGACGCTGTTGACGAACTGCTCCAAGGCGGACGCCATCTTGGCGGCTCGCGGGAGGCCGCGGCGGGAGAGCAGCGAGGCGGGGGAGACGGAGCGGGCCCCGCGCCGGGGAAGGAGGGGGAGGGGGCGGGAGGAGGAGAGGAAGTCGCCTCTTCTCCCTCCTGAGGCAGCGTCTCCTCCCGCGCAGGGCCAATCAGACGCCGCTTCGGAGGGCCGCGGGGGCGGAGCTCCCCGGGCGTCATTGCCGGCGCGCGCGCGCGGGCCTAAGCAAGGGCGTTGCCATGGGAACCGCCGCTCCAGGCCCTCAACCCGGAAGCGGCCTTCCCCGGTGTAAACAGAGGCAGCCGCCAACTGTCACTCGCGCTCTCGACTCGGTAGCTGCTCCAATTGGACCGGGGAAGGGTGGCTTCTTTAGCCTGGCACCGCAACCCGCCTTGTCTGCTTTCAAATTGTCGTCATGGAGAAGCGCCCAGCCCGTAGTAAACTGCCTTAACTCCCTCCCAGATAATACATTTAGGTGGCCACAATGCCCTCTGCAGCTTTCTACCCTGTCTGGCAGACAAAAACATAGTAAGGATGCAGCGACAACCCAGCCTGGGTGCTAAGGGTCAGGGTGACGTCAGACGCGGTGTGATGTCACACAGAGTACTTCACGCAACTCAGAAGCACATTGCATCTTCCGGTTATGGCTGCTTATCACTTCACTGCTAATCACTTCACTATCACATCATCGTATCACCATCGTTTTGTTGCTGTTTGGGGGAGTGTAGCACAGTTACATAAGCAAAAAGAACAAAAGATCCTTGTGGTAATTTAAAGATCAACACATTTTAATTTATTTATTTAGGTGCATTTGTACCCTACTCTTGGGCCAAAGAAAGCACAGCCAATTGCATAAAATCAGTTATAAACAAGACAGTCCCTGCCTGCAGCCTTACAATCTAAAAAAATAATCCACATTACAAAAGGGAAAATGGATAAGGAGGAAAGAGGAAGAAAGCAAACTCGGGCAACCTTTATTAAATAGAAGTTCTCATAATGACTGACTTGCAGAGAAACAGCTCAGGGGCAGGAGGTGCCTAATGGCATAAATTTCCATGGACTGGAGAATCCACTTCATCAGATATTTTAGATCAGGCTTCCACAACCTCGGCCCTCCAGAAGTTTTTTTAAGACTACAATTCCCATCATCCCTGACCACGGGTCCTGCTAGCTAGGGATCATGGGAGTTGTAGGCCAAAAAACATCTGGTGGGCCGAGGTTGAGGAAGCCTGCTTTAGATAAAGCGGACTCAAATCCACAAAGAGTACACAGAGTTCCTGTTTTCTGCTGAGCATGGCACTTGTGTGCGCCAACTTTCTACTGAGGATTCTAATTTCCTTGCCAATAGGGCAGTAATTATTTGGGAGACACAAAGCAACCCACCTCAGCTCAGAACCAGCTCTTTCAATGCTGCTTCTGGAACCTTCTAAAAATGACATTTGTTTTTGAGAAATGCATTTCAGGCGCCAATGTTAAGAGATCCCATTTGAGAGAGAAAAATCAGTTGTTGTGCTGTGAGCAGCACGATACCAGGAAATCCTAAGAAGAGATGAGCTCATCCTTCACTTGATATTCCCAGTGTGGACATCAGGGGCCGATGTATATCCAGTCTGTACCTAATAATGGAACAGCACTTCAGGGTGGTTTTTTTTTGGCAAAGCTGTATCTCTTTTGCCAGTGACCTCTTCTCACCATCATCTTATGTCTTATGCTCCCGAAAACCATATATGTTCATATGGCGAATAGCTGTTCTGAGTAAACAAAAATAGTGTATTGTAACCCACATATAAACAGGTGATGTAAATGAGGCCTACTTCAATCTGCAGTCTGTTATGCTTCCAGAAACGTTGAGGAGGAAATGGGATTCGCTCAAGAAGCAGTAAGGATCGAGTTCTGGGCTACAGTACAGAATAAGTGTGATAATTATGATCTAGGATGTTTTGTGAAAAAATGGCTTTCACCAGTGCTTTCATCTTTCTTGAAAAAGAGGTGCTGGTGTAGGAGGGCAAAGCCTCATAAGGCTACACTGGAACTCACCATGAAAGCTTCCCTTGTTCTCTTATACAGTGGTACCTCGGGTTAAGAACTTAATTCGTTCTGGAGGTCTGTTCTTAACCTGAAACTGTTATTAACCTGAAGCACCACTTTAGCTAATGGGGCCTCCTGCTGCCGCTGTGCCGCCGCTGCACGATTTCTGTTCTCATCCTGAAGCAAAGTTCTTAACCCGAGGTAATATTTCTGGGTTAGCGGAGTCTGTAACCTGAAGCGTATGTAACCTGAAGCGTATGTAACCCAAGGTACCACTGTAATGGCAATGGCATCCACCTAAGAGGTATCGGAACTGAATTCCAGTAAGTTCCTGCTGAAAAATACGGTAACCCCTGGCTTTCACTACTACTACTATTATTATTTTAAAGATATGGCTAGTTCTGCCTGTAGTTCCTATTGCACAATAAAATACGGCAGTCTCTGCAAAGTATAACAATAACAAAAGATTGTTTTATGCTTCCAGGAGTTTCCACTGAGTTTCAACAAAGCTGAAGCAGGGGCAACCAAGGAATATGAGCGCCTTTAGTTAGGTTGCTTGGACTTTCACCCTGGGACCTTAGGGTGATAAATAATTTTTTAATAATAATAAGGGCTTTTTTTCACCCAGAGCTCACAGGAGCTCAGCTCCGACACCTCAATGTTGGAACTGCTTGTGCGCTCATCAACCTTTGCTTGAAAGGCATTCTGCACACGCTCAGAGGCCCACTTCTTCTAATTGTATACACCATGTTGAACCTTGGCATCAGAACCTGATTATTCCAGAGCTGAACCTGCCCGTAGTCCTCATGCACCCTGAAAGCCCCGCTGAACAAAATGAAACTTCCTTCCACGTAAACACACGCAGGATCACATGCCCTCCAAATATCCCTGTTTTCTGCGGACAGCCCCAGATTTACAAAAGCCATCCCAGTTTCTGATCTGATCCCGGAATGTCCCACTTTTCCTTAGGACGTCCCTATTTTCATCGGAGTGATGTTGGAGGGGATGGAGTTATGCAACTCCTGAGCCAAGGAGATAAGTAGCTGTATAGTACTACCTTTAGAAGACAGCCCTGTATAGGAAAGTTTTACAATGTTTATTGCTTTATTATGTTTTTATTCATGCTGGAAGCCACCCAGAGGGGCTGGGGCAACCCAGTCAGATGGGCAAGGGTACTAATACTATAGAATGGACGTCCATATTTTCATTGGATAAATGTTGGAGGGTATGGGATCAGGCTGCGCGGCGCGGCTGACCTTGCTCGGGTCATCTTTTTTGCAGTGGGGGAAGCAGCCCAATTGAGGAGGTGTTTCCTACCCCTGGGTTTTCCAGCGCAAGGAGGGAGGCGATGGGACAAGGCCAGATTTAGGTTTAATGAGGCCCTAAGCTACTGAAGGTAATGGGGCCCTTTATATGTCCAGCTGTCCTTTGTCAACAACAAATTGTCACTGTTTTTTGTGTTAAATATGCTCTATGGTAATTTATGGACCTAATAGGTATCTCAAGCCATTTGCACATAACAAAACATGTATTTTATCAAAGTAATTGTTGAACTGAAATACAATTAAGAAGTATATTAATAGTGAAATACAATTAAGAAGAAGTATACTTTGGGGGGCCCCCAAGAGAGTGGGGCCCTAAGCTATAGCTTGTTTATCTTATACGTAAATCCGGCACTGCTGGGGAGAGACCCCGGAGAGGGGGAATACAGGAGATCCCATGCGAGGAGCTGGAGGCGCGCTTCCCGGCCGGCGCTGGAAACATGCCGCTGCTGCGAGGCGGCGCTTGGAGCTGCCGGGAGCGCAAGCACCAACCCCCTCCCCACCTCCCAGCTCCTCCCGCGGGCGATGGGAAGGAGAACCGGAGCACTGCCGGGTTGGGCTGCTCTGCCGGCGCCTCGGGAGGAGGGCGAGAGAGCGGCTCCCGCGGCTCGGCTGCAACCCAGAGGCGCGCGCACCGGAGCGCCAAGCCGCGCCCGGCCACCCCCAGCGCTGCGGAAGCACCTCGAGGACGCGGCGGCGCCCCACGGAGCGCCCCTGTCCGTCGCAAAGGGGGCGAGGAGAAGGAAGCCCGTGCGGATCTTGCGCGGGACGAGCGTAACGCACCCGGACCCGCGCCCACCTTCGTTTCCTTGAGCGCCACCCTGCCGCTGCTTTTGCGCAGCCGGCCCGGGAGCCCTCGCCTCGCCGCCCTCTCCATCTCCTCTCCCGGGGCTCCTCTCTGGCTGCAAATCGGGGTGGAGAAGCAAGAAGGGAGCGGCAGGACTCCGTGCTGCAGCGGCAATAATTGCATCAATAATAGCAATTATCTGCGGGTTTGGCGGACCTCGTGGGGTCCCCAAATCCGTGCGCCGCAGAGAGACAGAAAACCTGGCGTGATGCAGCAGTTGCAGAAAAGGAGGCTGGGGATTTGGGAGCAGAGCGACGAGGAAGCCTTGATCCGGCGCCCTTCCCCGGTTTTTTAAGAGAGAGATTCCGCCCATGCTAGCCATGAGCAGCTTCTTCTTGCACCCGCGGCCAGCCCTGCGCGGCTGCTGCGCCCCTTTCCTGGCCTCGGGCGCCGGCTGTTTGGCGCACTGCAGCAGACGCAGCGCCTCTTCGCGCTGCGCCCCCGGCCGCCGCCGGCGCCTGCGGGTCTTGGTGGACATGGACGGGGTGCTGGCGGATTTCGAGGGGGGCTTCCTGAAGAAGTTCAGAGCCAAGTATCCGGAGAAGCCCTACATCGCCTTGGAGGACCGCAGGGGGTTCTGGGTCTCGGAGCAGTATGGGCAGCTGGAATCGGAGCTGAGTGTGAGTCAGTGGCCTTGTTGTTGTTGTTGTTGTTATTTGTTATCAACATCATGTCAGTAAAGGCAGCTTGCAGATTACAAGAGGACAGATCTCTGCCCCGAGGGGCTTACCATATATAACTAGACGCAAGGGAGGTCCACCAAGGAACGGAAAGGGAATTGCAGCTGGAGTGAAATGAAGGAAATTGCTCATTATTAGCATCAACACCACCCACAGTGCCTTGCAAAATACAAAAATACAAATCTCCAAGGGCATTTGTAAATACAAAACCCCAAGGGGCTTGCAGTATATAATTAAACAGAAGGGAGACCAGAGAGAAGCAGAAAGGGAAATGCAGCTGGAACAAAACAAATGAAATTTGATGTTATCGTTTGTTGGATTTGTTATCTACCATTCACAGTAAGGTTCCAAGGCAGGTTACCACTATTTTATATTGAAACAAATTACAGTGGTACCTGGGGACGCGGGTGGCGCTGTGGGTAAAAGCCTCAGCGCCTAGGGCTTGCCGATCGAAAGGTCGGCGGTTCGAATCCCCGTGGCGGGGTGAGCTCCCGTTGTTCGGTCCCTGCTCCTGCCAACCTAGCAGTTCAAAAGCACTCCTAAGTGCAAGTAGATAAATAGGAACCGCTTACTAGCGGGAAGGTAAACGGCGTTTCCGTGTGCGGCTCTGGCTCGCCAGAGCAGCGATGTCACGCTGGCCACATGACCCGGAAGTGTCTCCGGACAGCGCTGGCCCCCGGCCTCTTGAGTGAGATGGGCGCACAACCCTAGAGTCTGTCAAGACTGGCCCGTACGGGCAGGGGTACCTTTACCTTTTACAGTGGTACCTCGGGTTACATACGCTTCAGGTTACGGACTCCGCTAACCCAGAAATAGTACCTCGGGTTAAGAACTTTGCTTCAGGATGAGAACAGAAATCGTGTGGTGGCAGCAGTGGGAGGCCCCATTAGCTAAAGGGGTACCTCAGGTTAAGAACAGTTTCAGGTTAAGAACGGACCTCCGGAACGAATTAAGTTCTTAACCCGAGGTACCACTGTATAGTGGTAGGAATACTGTTGTGGTTTTGAAACGTATTAATCGCTTGTTACCTAAATGGTCTCCTAGCAACTTATGGTACATGTAAAACATACTGAGGTAATGCCATTAGAAACATGATGCCTTAAGGAGGAGGGAGGAAGAAACACAAAACATTAACATTCTGTACAACATTTCCAAAAAGGAAAAAAAAGGATGGGTCCTGAAAATATGGCTGTGTACACATTACGGGCTTACCACACAGCTAGGTCGTTCTTTTTCTCAGTTTGGATTGAAGCTGGTTTGCTGGGGAAATTCATCAAAACACAGTATTGCACAAGTAAATGACAGGATAGGTACGGATTGTGGCCAAGTCATGTGTGCTGGCAGCTCACTGGGTGCAGAGTAGCCTGGAACGTGTACAGATATTTATCTCGTGTGTCAAAGCCTAGGTTAGGTCAAGTGTGTCTTCAGCATACCAAGGAAACAATACAATAAAGGTGCCAGACACATCTCTGTGGGCAGGGAATTCCACAACCCAAAAGCTGCCACAAAGCAGCATGCCCTCTTCTGGGCCACTGCTGCCATCCGGAGTTTCTACAGGTGATGGATGGAACTACCAAGATCCGAATACCCAGGAGAGTCTGTGGGGAAGGAGGCCATCTTCAGATATTTGGGGCCCAAGTCATTTAGGGCTTTAAACCCTAAAATGTGAGGTAGTTTTAGTGTAGTGTGACTGGTTCGGCAGTGCTGCGTGCCAGCACTGCAACAATGATGTGTAAGAGGCAAGGGCGGCGCCAAATTTTAGTGCCACACAGGGCACTGCTGAAATTTGAGAATCCAAAGTCTGCCACTGTCTCCTTGAACTGGGCCTGAAAACCAATTTGAACACAGTTTTGAAACAGGGGTTATATGAATAGGAACCCCAGGCAGAAATCTGGCTGCTGCATGTTGGACCCACATAGAAATAAATAAAACACATTTGTTTAGAGTAGTAGATAATAACAAGCACTTTTAAATAGGCAAAGTCACCTCCAAGGCTTTATTATTATTATTATTATTAATGCTTACAACAGCCCTATAAGGTAGGCTACTGTTATCCACCTGTTGCATAGAGTGGAAATGAGGCTGGCAGGTAAGTAAGTGCCTTGGAATTGAACCTAAGTTTCAGGCCTGTTCTCCATCTACTGCACAATCCCGTCTCTGTGTTTTTATTAATGACAAAAGTCCAAGCGTGTTCAAAGTCCACAAGGTTGCAAACTCCATCGAGTAGCTAACTCTGACCTGGGCCTGGGCAGAGCGATTCTGTTCCCTCTTGCTGCTATTGGTTTAACTGATCGGATAAGCGGGGAGGGCTGGGCAGGCTGGCGAGGGGGTAAACTACAACCCCCAGAATTCTTTGAGGAAAGTCAGGTGTTGAAAATGTGCTCTGTATGCTGCCCTTATTCAAATGTCGCTGCTCAAGCTGTTCTCGTGGATTCTGTTGTGCAGGAGAGCAGCCAAGAGGGCAGCAGACTTAACAGGCTAATGTTCTCCCCTCCCCAACCTTCTCGCTCCACACCTCTTTGCAGGAAAAGGCAATTGGCATTTGGGAGTCAAAGAACTTCTTCCTGGAGCTGGATCCGCTCCCAGGGGCCGTGGAAGCCGTCAAGCAGATGGCCGAGTTAAAAGAGTGAGTATGTTTGGCGGAATTTGCGAGGGAGAAGCTTCCCCACTGCAGGCACACCCCTGCTCTTCCACCAGCCGGGCTTCTTCCTTTCTTTTCATTACAGTCATACCTCGGGTTGAAGTAGCTTCAAGTTAAGTATTTTCCGGGTTGCTGAAGCCCCGCGATGCGCCCGTCACGATGCCCATGGCGCAGCCCAGACCCGTCACTCGCCCGCCGGCCTCTCCGTCCATGGCCGTGCCATGGACGTTTACCTCAGCTGTGGGCAGCGCAGCTTCAGACTGGCTGCAGGAACTTCCTGCAGCCAATCTGAAGCTGCGCCAGCGTCGCCTCCTGCCAAGATCCGCCCACAGCTTCGGGTTGGCTACAGGAGCTTCCTGCAGCCAATCTGAAGCTGCGCCAGCATTGCTGCCCTCCCAGAAGCCATGCCAGCATCGCGAAAGTCATTCCCCGCACGGTGAGGCGTCCGCAGTGTGTGGGGACTGACCAGGCGGGCGGCAGGGTCCGCGGACCGGATTTACGAGCCTGGGGGGCCGCATCAGGCCTCTGGGCCTTAGTTTTCCGACCCCTGGACTAAGTGGTCCGACTCCATCTGAGGCAGCCTTTGCTTATATCTATGCAGAGCACACCTGAGATATTAATTTTTTTGCAGGAAGGCCAGAATCCATACAGGATGAATAAATGCAAATGTGGATTATTTTTTCTTCTTCTCCACTGTCTCTTTCCTTCCCTCCTTCACCTTCTCTCTTTTCTGTCATGGTAGGACCGATGTGTTCATCTGCACCAGTCCCATCAAGAAGTATCGGTATTGCCCATACGAAAAGGTAACGGGTATATTATTTTTATTACTATTTCTTCATTTAGACAATTTGGTAGCCAGCCTTTCAATTGAAAGGATTCCCAGAGCAGAGGACAGTGACGAAATTCAGAATCTTTCCGGCGGAAACTCCCTCCTACGTGCAGTCTGGAGAGGCAGGAACTAAGCCGTGTGTTTTGACCGCCTTCTGAAAACCCATCTGTTTAGCCAGGCTTTCCCTGGCTGGAAATTGCCAATACATTTCCTGGGTTTTCCTGGCATTAAATATTCATTAAAACTAGTGGTAAAAGCCGACTTTGAAAAACAGGAGGCATAAGAGAATGATCAAAATATAGGCAACATCAACAGTTTTAAAAACAACAATTAATTTTATGTCTGGAGGTGCTCACCGGAACAAAAAAACGGTTTCTAGCCGGTGTCAAAAACAACACAATGAAGACCCCTGCCTAATATTAACCGCTGCAATTTTATAGTACGTTTTATATAAACTGCTTAGAGAGGGTCCATATTTTAAGCAGTATACAGTGGTGCCCCGCAAGACGAATGCCTCGCAAGACGGAAAACCCGCAAGACGAAAGGATTTTCCGTTTGCGAGTTGCTTCGCAAGACGAATTTCCCTATGGGCTTGCTTCGCAAGAAGAAAGCCCATAGGGAAATCTCCGGGGACCTCTTTTAAATGCTAGCGGTGGGGAGCAAAGCCTTCCCCCCCCTCCGGCCTTCAGAAGAGGAAGGCCGGCGGGGGCCAAAAGGCTTTGCTCCTCACCGCCAGCATTTTAAAAGCAGTCCGGGATAGCAGGGAAGTGCTTCCCGCTATCCCGGACGGCTTTTGAAGGCAGGCGGGGGGGAGCAAAGACTTTTCAGAAGAGGAAGGCCGGCGGGGGCCAAAAGGCTTTGCTCCTCACCGCCAGCATTTTAAAAGCAGTCCGGGATAGCAGGGAAGTGCTTCCCGCTATCCCGGACGGCTTTTGAAGGCAGGCGGGGGGGAGCAAAGACTTTTGCCCCCCGCCGGCCTTCAGAAGAGGTCCTGGACCTCTTCTGAAGGCCGGCGGGGGGCAGAAGTCTTTGCTCCCCCCTGCCTGCCTTCCCGGGAGAGCGGAGAAACACAGGACCTCTTCTGAAGGCTGGCGGGGGGCAAAAGTCTTTGTCCCCCCTGCCTGCCTTCCCAGGGGCTTTTAAATCGCCCCGGACAGCGGAGAAGTCCTCCGCTGTCCCGGGGTTTTTTAAAATGCTGGGGGTGGGAAGAAAAGCCCTTGTCCCCCCCCCCAGCCTTCAGAAGAGGTCGGGGCACAGACTGTCCCCGGACCTGGTCTGAAGGCGGTTTCCATAGGAACGCTTTAATTGATTTTCAATGCATTCCTATGGGAAACCCTGCTTCGCAAGACGAAAAACTCGCAAGAAGAAAAAACTTGCGGAACGAATTAGTTTCGTCTTGCGAGGCACCACTGTATAATTATTGCTGAGAAGTAAGTGAAATTAAGAACGGAAATAAAGTGATCAAATTTTTAGTGAAACTCTGGGGAGCCAGGATGAGACCAGGAGTTGGCACTAAAGTGACGAATAAAGCAGAACTCTCCACGAAAAGACTGATATGAAAAGCCAATTTAAAGGCACGGACTCCTGGATCAGCCTCAAAGCAGTGGGGAGCTGGTTCCATAATTGCACTAAGTGCAAGATTGCAGTCAAATTTTGTGCAGACACCCAGCCCATCTGGAGTCTTGGCTCAAAGTTAAGCTCCACATCTTTATGCGCCCCCTTGCCCATCTTGTCCGGAGTTTTGGGCTGGGCTGCCATCAGTATGCTGATGACACCCAACTCTATCTGTTGATGGATGGCCATCCTGACTCGGCCCCAGACACACTGATCAGATGCTTGGAAGCTGTGGCTGGATGGTTACGTGGGAGCCGGTTGAAGTTAAATCCTTCGAAGACAGAGGTCCTCTGGCTGGGACGGGACGATATGAGATTGAGGGGGCAACTCCCTTCTCTTGCGGGGGTGCAATTAGTGCCAGCACCGTCCGTTAAGAGTTTGGGTGTAATCATCGATACCTCCCTCTCCATGGAGGCGCAGATTGCAGCTATAACAAAGGCGGCATTTTTTCATCTCCGCCAAGCTAAGCAGTTGGCTCCTTACCTCTCTCGCCCTGACCTAGCCACTGTGATCCACGCGACGGTCACCTCCAGACTGGATTATTGTAACTCGCTCTACGTGGGGCTGCCCTTGAGACTGACCCAGAAACTCCAGCGGGTGCAGAATGCCGCAGCGAGACTCCTTACGGGGTCTTCACTGCGAGATCACATTCATCCGGTGCTATACCAGCTGCACTGGCTCCCGGTGGAGTACAGGATCAGGTTTAAGGTGCTGGTTTTAACCTTTAAAGCCCTATACGGCCTAGGACCCTCGTACCTACGGGACCGCCTCTCCTGGTATGCCCCACAGAGGAACTTACGGTCTTCAAATAAAAACATCTTGAAGGTCCCAGGCCACAGAGAGGTTAGGCTGGCCTCAACTAGAGCCAGAGCTTTTTCGGCTGCGGCTCCAACCTGGTGGAATGCCCTGTCGCAAGAGACAAGGGCCCTGCAGGACTTGACATCTTTTCGCAGGGCCTGTAAGACAGAGCTGTTCCACCAGGCCTTTGGTCAGGGCGCAGCCTGACTCCCTCCTTTGGCAATCTCTACAAAGCTTTAGTCTATGGTTGCCATCAATTTGTATTTTAATTAATTTTTAGAATGTATTTATAATGTTGTACTGTTTTAGTGTTGTTAGCCGCCCTGAGCCCGGCTTCGGCTGGGGAGGGCGGGATATAAATAAAATTTATTATTATTATTATTATTCCCGCTCCCTGCTTCCCCATAATGGGGTTTATTTTGGGGTTTTTTGGTCATTGTGGTTTGCTGGTCATGCCGGTGCCAGTTCCATCCTCCCCCCACCCTCTGCCCACAAACTCTTTTCTTCCACTCTTTCCTTTTCCACTTTCCAGTACGCCTGGGTGGAGAAGCACTTGGGCCAAGAGTTTCTGGAGCAGATCGTCCTCACCCGAGATAAGACGGTGGTCTCTGGCGACCTGCTGATCGACGACAGGCCTGATATAATAGGTGAAGGGGTTGTCCCAAGGGAAAGGGCATCGGGGGCTGGTGGGTGGATGGAAGTGCAAGGCAGTGAAGGCCCCAACAGCATGATTCAACATTGACACATACTGTGCTTATTTATTTGAATTTGTATACCAGAGCTTGGACAACAGTAGTTAGGCTATCCCTGTCCAGATAAGGGCACAGCTGGACCACCAGCCGAAGCTGATGGAAGACACTCTGTGCCACCGAGGCCACCTGAGCCTCAAGCAACAGCAATAGATCCAGCTATAGATCCAGACCAATAGATCCAAGCTACCAATAGATCCAAGCTAAGAGCAGGCAACCTCCCATCCATCCGGTCTAGGGAACCACCCACTAACAGTGTCTCAGCCTTATCTAGATTGAGCTTCACTTTGTATCTTCCTATAGACATAAAAACGTAAGGCTGTCATCACGCAACTCCCATTTTAGGCCTGCATCGCAATCCTGGATTCGCATGAAGTCAGGGCAAGGGTGGAGGGGGAGTGAAAGTGAAGCAGGATTTCAAATGATGGTTTTAAACAACAGCAGGAGTTTAAATGGAGCAGGGATGGAGGGACACAGAGGAGCTCTGAGGTTATTGGCAGGGCAGGGACGTGAAGAAGCTGTGAGAATATCGTTTTTTGCTTTTAGGCAATTCTTCTGTGTGTCACGACAAACATCATCCAGCCTCTCCTGAGGCTACAGCCACTTACCTGGGAGTAAGCCCCATTAAACGCAATGGGACTTACATCCAAGTAGGCATGTTTAGATCACATTGCTCCCAGCTGCAGGTATCTCTTGGTTAGTACACTATATGGCTCTCTGACAGTTGCTTCCTTACTGTAAATAAGCAAAGTCGCTTACGACAGACTTTGGGGTTTACAGGCATATAGCACACACAGGGCTGTGTCTACCCTGCAGAAATTCAAAATTCTGCTTCGAGGACAGAAACAAAACATGAAACCTATACAATAAGGGTCAGCAAACTTTTTCAGCAGGGGGCCGGTCCACTGTCCCCCAGACCTTGTGGGGGGCAGGACTATATTTTGAAGGGGGGGAAAGAATGAATTCCTATGCCCCACAAATAACCCAGAGATGCATTTTAAATAAAAGGACACATTCTACTCATGTAAAAACACACTGAATCGCGGACTGTCTGCGGGCCAGATTGAGAAGGCGATTGGGCCATATCTGGCCCACGGGCCTTAGGTTGCCTTCCCATGGTATACGAGCTCTGCAGACTGGAGCGCAGACCTCTGTTAGTGGATTGTGAGACTCCACCAGCTGTTGTAAAGCCAATATTTACACCCATGAAGACTAGAAACTTCTCTCCCCTTTTCATTCCCCGCTATTAGATTCCATAGAGCAGTGAGGTGGCAGATTTTTTTAAACAAACCAACCCCACAGACAGGTGTTATTCAGTTTAAAAAGGTCCTAAGTCGCCTTCTTTTCTTTGCCTTCCAGGAGCTGAGAAGAGTCCGAGCTGGGAGCACATCCTCTTCACGGCCTGCCACAACAAGCACCTCCAGCTGCCTCCTCTTCGTCGGAGGCTGCACTCGTGGGCCGATGACTGGAAGGCCATCTTGGATAGCAAGCGGGCATTGTAGAGCTCGTTGGGAGAGTCTCCTCGACGTGCCCGGCGAGGGGCCAGAATCAGTGGTGCAGACCCGAAAACCACACCTAGGCCCCGTGGGGAGAAGCAGGAAAAGCCATGTCTTTGGTTTCAGCTATGGAGCCAGAGACGAGGGCAGTCTTCCCAAGAAAAAGGAGCTTGGCCATTCCACAAGAGCCATCGCAAAAGCTGGGCCACCAAAGGACCTTTGCCAAGCACCCTTCCTGGGTCTGGCTTGGCCTAGTCCAAAAGACGTCTTATCCCAAAGGAAGGCCCAGCCAGGGGTGTTCACCACCCACCAAGCACTGTTTAGCGTCATATCTGGCTTCCGTAAAGATGGCCGCCATCTTTAACGTCCGCTCCCAATCTCCAGGACTGAAATTTAGTTTGCTTCAGGAGGACGTTGAAATGAGCTGAGGGGCAGGCCGGTCTGGGAGCCACTTCAAAATCCAAAATGTGTGTGTGTGTGTGAACTGTGGTAGCTCATTTGCCAGGGGAAATGCCTGGGTTGGGGAACCAGTCACCGGTCCAAACATTGTTGGACTCCAGTTCCCATCATCCTTGGTCGTGCTGGCTGGGGATGATGAGAGTTGGAGTCCGTCAACATCTGGAGGGCCACAGTTTCCCTACCCTTACTCCCAGAAACATCCTCTCTCTCATGGCGGCTCGTCGACAAACCCAGGTTTCTGAGCTGAGACCTGCTTCCAACCAAGTTCTCCTTTGGGCTCTCAGTGTAAGCCAAAGCGAGTGCCCTTCTAAGGTAAGAAGGCCTGTGGAATCTCAGGTTGGGCGAGGAGGCCTCAGTTCTCACAAATGGCAAGAGAGGAGGCCAACCACGTCATTTTTCGCGGATAGACTCACAAGACTGAATGGACTTCATACCCCACCAAATATCCCTCCAGGTAGAAGAATAGTATGCCAGGGAGAAATATTCTAGCCTGCTGATTTTCTATACAAAGGAATTTTTATTTTATTTTTTGGACAGGAGAACAATGTGGGCCCATATCCTGAAGCAGATATGGCAACCCATGAGCAAGCCGACAATTTTGCACTTGCTGCCCATAGGAGCAAGGTCTGAGCTTCGCCTTGAAGGGAACTTTCTGGAACATTTGCGCTATATGTAGCTCTTTGACTATTGTCTCAGTCAAGTGACACTGGACGGAGGTCTTCCGTCATGAGACGCTCTCATTCCCTCCAGACACACGGCAGCTAAAAAGCTTGTGACAGCACACAAGGAAGAAAGCTTTATTGTTCCCGGAAGACGAAAGCCAAAAGGATTCCCCCTCAAGCTGAAATTGGGAAAATGGTCAGAATTCATTTGGCTTCATGAATCTGCAATATTTTGCAAGTTCTGCTTTTGAAATCTGTTTGAGTCTTTTACAAAACGAGAAAGGAAGGAAATATTGGCTCATCAATGTATTTTAAAGGCAGCCCTTTCAAGTTTTCAATTCCGTGATTCGACACTGTCCTCTTGTTTCCATTCTCCCGGTTCAAAACCCCCAAATTCAGCAGCTTTCCTAAACAGTCATGTTGAGAAATAAATCTGAAAGAATTAGAATCAGTTTGGATTTCTGCAACGCTGATTCAAGCTAGGAAAATGTGCTCTTCTGGGTATCTTTTGGGGAACAGGTGGAGGCAAATCATAGAATCATATAGTGGTAGAGTCGGAAAGGATCCTAAGGGTCATCTAGTCCAACCCCATGCAATGCAGAAATCTTTTGCCCAGTGTGGGGCTCAAACCCACGATTCTGAAATTAAGAGACTCATGCGCAACCAACTGAGCTACCCCAACAGTTGTCAGATGGCAAATGAATGGAAATATACCCTTTCTACAGTAGGCTAATTTCTACAAAACACACACTCCTCTGTTTTCCATCCAGACGATCCAAGAGTCCTGTATTGTTTTCCATCTTTCCTCTCAGGCGGGGATGGGGAACCGTTTCCTGGCTGAGGGCCACATTCCCTTCTTGCCAGCCTTTCAGGGGCCACATGCTAGCTGTGGCAGAGCAATAAATAGGAACGTTACCCTTGTATGGTAAGCCAGTTCCTGCCTACCCTCACACAACTCTCTGCACACCCAGACGGCTAAGAGCCATCATCTGAGTCAAGGACACATTCCAGCCAGTCAGAAACACTCAATGAGGGTGTGGGGCAGAGCTGGGGAGGGATGTGACTTGCGGGGAGGGGGGTATGGCTTGAGGAGAGACCCACGGGATAGATAGGGAAGTCCAGAGGGCTGTGTTTCAAACCCCCCCCCCCAGGTTTTAGAGTTTCCATCCCTGATAGAGCATCACGAAGGGACAGTCAAACTAGCAGGGCAGAAGAATTCCAGGGCTCCCAGTCCAATCTGGAAAATCTTTTAAGGGTTAGGAGGACAGGACCCGCTTCCCAATTCTCACACCCCGTTTTCCTAATTTTCACCCATTTTTTTTTCAGGGACGTTGGAGAATTCTGGCGATTAATAGAAACGGGAGCAGAAATTGCCAGCATTCACTTACTCGCCTCCAATCTGCAACAGAAATCAATCCAGCAAATATGCTGCTGCTGTTGCTTTGGGTTTGCAGATGCTATGTTGCCGGTCACATACACACATGTTTGCATTGTGTTTCCCTTGCACTGAAATGAATGGGGTGGAATTAGTATTTCATTACTTATTAAATTTGTACGCCACCCTTCATTTGTAGATTTCAACACAGTGGAACCTTGGTTTTCGAACTTAATCCATTCCGGAAGACTGTTCGGCTTCCGAAAAGTTTGAAAACCGAGGATCAATGGGATAGCTGCAAAGTCAACAGGGGGAAATGAAAAATGTGGCTCGGAAGCTGTTTGGCTTCCGAAACTCATTTGAAAACTGGAGCAGTTACTTCCAGGTTTTCAGTGTTCGGTAGCCAAAACGTTCCAAAACGGAGTTCGGGAACCGAAATTTGGCTGTATACAATATAAAATAGACAAAATAATGCAGCAAGAAAGCAATTTGCAGAACTGATGACGTAATGATGACATTGTGTAAGGCGCAATGTAATTTCAGCACAGCAGACATCGAGACGACTGATTCTTTGGGCAGAAGGCGAATTGCAGCAGAACAGAAAGAGTACTGCATGTGACACGAATACAGGGTGGAGCAGAAAGCAACGCCTTCTTACACCCCTACTTTCTGTTAGCCGCTACTTTCTCTCCACATGTATGAATGAACAAACGTGACCATTCACTTCTATGGAGCTAGGGTGAAGGGGCTCCCCTTAGACTCTGGAGAAGAGGCAGCATGATAGAAATTTATAGAATTTTGCATGGCATGGAGAAAGCAGAAACAAAAATGCGTTTCTCATAAGACTAGAAGTCGTGGGCATCCAAGTGAGCTGAATAATAATAATAATAATAATAATAATAATAATATAATAATTTATTACTTATACCCCGCCCATCTGGCTGGGTTTCCCCAGCCACTCTGGGCGGCTTCCAACAAAATATTAAAATACAGTAATGCCTCAAACATTAAAAGCTTCCTTAAACGGCTGCCTTCAGATGTCGTCTAAAAGTCTGGTAGTTGTTGTTCTCGTTGACATCTGGTGGGAGGGCATTCCACAGGGTGGGTGCCACCACCGAGAAGGCCCTCTGCCTGGTTCCCTGTAACTTGGCTTCTCGCAGTGAGGGCAGCTGTCTACCAGCTTCATCAGGTACACAGGCTGAGACCCTACCTGCCCGCGGACTGTCTCGCCAGAGTGGCACCGCCAGAAGGCCCTTGGTGCCGGACCTCAATGTCTGGGTAGAATGATCGGGGTGGAGACGCTCCTTCAGGTATACTGGACCGAGGCCGTTTAGGGCTTTAAAGGTCAGCACTAACACTTTGAATTGTGCTCGGAAACGTACTGAGAGCCAATGTAGGTCTTTCAAGACCGGTGTTATGTGGTCTCGGTGGCCGCTCCCAGTCACCAGTTTAGCTGCCGCACGCTGAATTAGTTGCAATTTCTGAGTCACCTTCAAAGGTAGCGCCATGTAGAGTGCATGGCAGTAGTCCAAGCGGGAGATAACCAGAGCATACACCACTCTAGCGAGACAGTCCACAAGCAGGTAGGGTCTCAGCCTGCGTACCAGATGGAGCTGCCCTGGACACACAATTGACCTGCACCTCCATGGACAGCTGTGAGTCCAGAATGACTCCCAGGCTGCACACCTGGTCCTTCAGGGGCACAGTTACCCCATTCAGGACCAGGGAGTCCTCCACACCAGCCCGCCCCCTGTCCCCCAAGAACAGTACTTCTGTCTTGTCAGGATTCAACCTCAATCTGTTAGCCGCCATCCATCCTCCAACTGCCTCCAGACACTCACACAGGACCTTCACCACCTTCACTTCTGATTTGAAAAGAGGTAAGAGCTGGGTGTCATCCGCATAATGATGCGACATGGGCGTTGAGAGATTCAGGACATATAAAAGAGAATACCGTATTTTTCGCCCCATAGGACGCACCGGCCCATAGGACGCATCAAGTTTTTTGGGGGGAGAAATAAAGGGGAAAAAATTTATTCCCCCCCCCCAGGCGCTTGTGGGGCCGGCAGCGGGGAGAAGCGCTCTTCTCCCCGCCGCCCACCTTGAGATCAAGTCCGGGGACAGCAGGAAGACGCGCTGCGTCTCCCAGCTGTCCCCGGAGCTTGTGGTGCAGGCAGCGGGGAGAAGCGCTCTTCTCCCTGCCGCCCGCCTTCAGATCAGGTCCGGGGACAGCAGGAAGACACGCTGCGTCTCCCCGCTGTCCCCGGAGCTTGCGGGACTGGTGGGGTCTCCCCGCCGTCCGCCTCCAAACCACTTCGGGAGACAGCGGGATGGCGGCGTTCCGCCTCCCTCTATCCCCCGACCTTGTGGGGCTGGCGCTGGGGCTCTCCTGAAGCCTGGAGAGCGAGAGGGGTCGGTGCGCACCGACCCCTCTCACTCTCCAGGCTTCAGCGAAAGCCTGCATTCGCCCCATAGGACGCACACACATTTCCCCTTCATTTTTGGAGGGGAAAAAGTGCGTCCTATAGGGTGAAAAATACGGTACTTCACACAGGGCAAAGTCCCCATGCGGCTTTCCCCCAGATCCCAAAGTCAGCCACCAGAGGGCAATATGTGCAAAGACATTATTTACTTTCTCACCCTGTTTGCATGAGTATTTTTCTGAGAAGTCTTCCAGCTGCCATGGATTTTTTTAAAAGGCACAAATCCTCAAAGTACTTGTTGTTTTCCTAGTTACACACTGTCAGGTAAACAGTACATTGCTTCCAAGAACGTTTTACTATAGAAAGTACAGCTTAAGGGAGGAGAAAGTTTGAATAAGGTCCCTTGTTGGTATAACGGCAGCAGCTCATGTTTGTTGGCAAAGAACCATTGTTGTTGTTTAGTCGTTTAGTCGTGTCCGACTCTTCGTGACCCCATGGACCAGAGCACGCCAGGCACCTCTGTCCTCCACTACCTCCCGCAGTTTGGTCAAACTCATGCTGGTAACCTCGAAAACACTATCCAACCATCTCGTCCTCTGTCGCCCCCTTCTCCTTGTGCCCTCCATCTTTCCTAACATCAGTGTCATGGATCACTACCTTGCCGTGGCGAAGGGGCTTGAAGAACTCAGAGAAGCTATGAACTATGCCGAGCAGGGCACACAAGATGAACAGGTCATAGTGGAGAGTTTTGACCAAACGTGATCCACCTGGAGGAGGAACCGGCAAGCCACTCCAGTATCCTTGCCAAGAAAACTCCATGGACAAAGACAACAGGAAAGAACCATGCTGAACTGCTAAAGGGACGCGGGTGGCGCTGTGGTCTAAACCACTGAGTCTCTTGGGTTTGCCGATTAGAAGGTTGGCGGTTCGAATCCCTGCCATGGGGTGAGCTCTCATGTCTCATTGCTCTGTCCCAGCTCCTGCCAACCTAGCAGTTCGAAAGCACACCAGTGTGAGTAGATAAATAGGTATCACTACGGCAGGAAGGTAAACAGCATTTCTGTGTGCTCTGGTTTCTGTCACGGTGTTCCGTTGCGCCAGAAATGGTTTAGTCCTGCTGGCCACATTACCCAGAAAGCTGTCTGTGGACAAACGCCGGCTCCCTCGGCCTGAAGCAAGATGAGCGCTGCAACCCCAGAGTCGCCGTTGACTGGACTTAACTGTCCAGGGCTCCTTTACTTTTTTAAAAACCTGTGTTGAACTGCTACCTGGCCCATTTGTAAGAACCCAATGAGTGGCCGCTGTACTCGAGTTGTTTTCTCAGAGCTAGTACCATTTCCTGGAAGCATGAGGAGGGGAGAGAGCTGTGGTGTTCAGGCCTTGTTTTTGGACACCTTCCATGGGCCTCTGATTGGCCACTGTGAGACCAGGATCGCAAAGCAGATGGGCCATTGGGCCTGAACCAGAAGGCTCTTCTTCAGTTCTTCTGTTGGTGATGCAGTCCCTCTGCTGACAGTGCATAAACGCATCGTGCAGATCGCCAAGCCGACGCTTGTTGACTCACAGCTGAATGTATAACCCGATTATATCCACCGTGATGATCTTTGATAGGTGATGACTCATTCACACGCAAAGAGTCAAAAAGATTCACCC